CTCTCTCTCTCTCTCTCTCTCTCTCTCTCTCTCTCTCTCTCTCTCTCTCTCTCTCTCTCTCTCTCTGTGTGTGTGTGTGTGTGTGTGTGTGTTTCAGGTTTTCACCACAATAGCCCCTCTTCCACCCAGACGAGTATATGCAAAATCAAAGCAGTTTTACTCCTATTGCAGAACGAAAACTCTTTCATACAATCCAACAATGAAACAGTTTTTCTATAGCAAGCAACAAGGAGCATAATTGAAGCATTTAAACTTTAAATCCCTTTCTTAACTGTGTTCACTTTGGCTTTCCTCGGGGTGCCCCTTTCATTTTCTGGGAAATCCCATTCTTAACTGTGTTCACTTTGGCTTTCTTTGGGGTGCCCCTTTCATATTCTGTGTTTGTGTGTATTGCACGTGACTAATTTTGTTTTGCATGGACACATTTGCTGCCTGTGTTTGCATTTGGTTTGTGGTGTTACAGGTAGTGTGTGCTGTTGGTTACGAGAATGCACGCCTGGAGATTCCCAATTGTGTTCTGGGAAAGTTGATCGGTGGTAAGTAAAAACAGAACCTTGAGTTGTTGTCATTCCAGTTTTGGACGGATTCCTACAGATCTGTCGTGGATCCCAGTGCTGGAGTTCACCCCCTCGAACTCCTGGGAGGAGGGGGCCAGGGAGGAGGGTGGCAGGAGTTTGTCTGTCTGTGTTTGTTCGTGGTAGCGGACAATCCCAAAGCGTCACAAAGAGGGCACGGAGGACAGGGCGAACAGTAGAACCCCACGCGATTGATATCTTCCCCCATGCCCTCCGAGCCTCAGGCATTACCAGTTCCATATTCTCTAACCACCCTAGGCCTCTCTTGGGCCACACACCGTTTTTCAGCATCCTGATGTTGTGATTGGGTGGCCTTCGTTTCCCCTGCCCCAATAGGAGTTCCTAGACCTTCATAGCCTGTCCCCTCTGGGTTCACCTGGTATTACCGAGTGGATCTGGTCAAGCCTTAGGCCAAATCCAGTCTAGCTGGTAGTACTGGGTCGATCTGGTCAATTTTTAGGCCAGATCCAGCAGGTGCTACTGGCTGGTATTCAGTGCCTTGGTCCCCTCAACATGCTTGAACCTGGTGCTGCAATTGCATCAGATTCGGAAGCGGGCACTGGATGCCGCAAGCACCTTAAACAGACGGGCTTTTAAACCACCAGTACCTTTCGGAGCAGTGCTCGGAACCATTTTTTTTTCGGATACCGAACCCGGCTGACTTCCAGATGACGCTGTCCAAAAAACAAATAATTGATGAAGGCCTCGATTTTGCACCCTTCCTCTTCCAGTTTCGGGTGCCGGCCTGCTGTTGTCCAGTAGTATATCTATGGGAGTAGGCCGGGTCCGTTTCCACTTTTCACAGACGATAGTAGATCGTATTGGTGATAGCAATCGCGTTGAGGTAAGATGCTTTCTTTTTTTTTATATTTTGTTTTTACTATTCTCCTTTTTCTTTCGTTTCCCTTCCTTGCTGGTACCGTGGAGCAGGATGGGACTTCTCTCCGGGACAGCCCTGCACCTCTACCGACCGGTCCGCAGGTCATTGCTGCGGGCGGAGTGAGTGTGGTCGCCCGGTGGCAGGGCGCAATGGTCGTCCGGTGGCGGGGCGGGGCGGAAGACGCCATCTTGCACACGTAGCTCGGTGTAGGGGGAATGGCGGGATGGCGGGGGAGGGCTGGCAGGTGGGCAGATGTCGTGGGAGCGGGCAGCGAGTGGGAGGCGGGATGGCGGGCTCGCGGAGCGGGGAGGCGGGATGGCGGGATTGCGGGCTGGCGGAATTGCGGGCTGGCAGAGCGGGAGCGGCAGACGGGCAGCGAGGACGCGCGCGCGCGCGCGCGAGAGAGAGAGAGAGAGAGAGAGAGAGAGAGAGAGAGAGAGAGGCGTGTGTGTGTGGGGGGGAGCGGTTGGAGGAGGAGACGAGCGAGCGGCAGCGTGCCGCGAGCAACTGAGCATGCGCGCGTGTGTGCGGGAGCAGGCATGCGATAGCGTGGTCGGGAGCGGGCATGTGGGAGTGGGAACGGGAGCGGCCATGTTGGAGCGAGAGCGGGAGCGGGATCGAGGTCGGAGAGAGGGAGCAGGAGTGGGAGTGGGAACGGGAGCGGGCATGCGGGATCGAGGTCGGAAAGCGGGAGTGGGAACGGGAGCGAGCATGCTGGAGCGGGGCGCGG